GCACTGGTTGGGCATGCGAGGTTTGTGCATCTTCCTATGGTTTCTATGTTTTTTCACTTGCAATTTTCAAAATTGGGTGTTTAAGGTTTACTGGTTTAGGGGGCCTTGGTCGGTTGGTCGGTTGGCCGGGCAGTGGCCGTGGGGTAGGGGTTGATGTGCGTTGATTCTCCCAATGATGCAGTGGTCTTCGGGGGTCTTGGGGGTCGGAGTTGGGATGATGGAATGGTGGTCATTCCCGGCCAGTTGGCTACAGAATTTTCCAACTAATTGGTTTGGTAAGACTTGATTTTCTTGACACTTGATATGATGTCTGATATAGGGAGTGAAATTGGAGGCTGTTTAAGGCCGTAAGCATGGCTGTGTGTGGGGGGTTAACTTCAATAAACTTGTTCACATGGTCCCTGTTATGTGTTATCTCACATTTATTTTCTATCTTGTTACTTTAGGTGTGTTTCCACAGTTTTAGTTTCACATCTAGTTCCACAGTTTTATTTTCGCATTTGGGTTCATAGTTTTAGTTCACATAGAGTCTGGAGTACACTGGTTCTTGTTGGTAAACAAGGAACACTCTGGGGTCGCATTGCCCCGAGTTCAATTTCAGATGATGTTGGCAAGAATCATACTCGTCTCTACTCACTCGGTATATCTACTAATTCCAGTTAGATTATGACATAAGTAGAATGAAGAATTTGAGTTCGTATGGGCTGGGGTCATAGTTTTCACCCAGTACTGTAGCGTTTTTGGGGGGTTTTGGGGAGAATTATGTGTGTTGTTTATAGTGTTTATTGAACTAATTAGTTCTTGTCGGGAATTATATGCTTCGCTTATATTTTGTAATGCACTAATCTAATGTGGAATGTCGTTGTGGTGCTCCAGGTCAGGATGATCGCCATCCGGTTGTTTTTAGTGACGACGAGAGTGATACAGATCATGGTTTTCAAACACCACTAGAGGATTCTGAAGATCTCGAGGATGCAGAACCACTGCATGGTGCGGCGGCGCGTGAAAGCCACTTGTTCACCCCGCCACATCCACCATTTGTTAGTGGCGCATTGTGGTCGAAAATCGATGATTTACGGTCGAAAATACCTGTTCCGACAATTTTGGGTATCCGGAAAACTTTCGTTGCTATTTTCGAGCAACTCATGATGTGGTCGGAAATAGCGTCCAATATTACAAAGTGGTCGAAAAATATGGTCGGGGAGAAAGTTGTGAGTTGCGTAATTTCTGAACACCGGTGGTTGGAAAAAGGCCACCAATAATTTTATAAAAAATTGGGATTTTTAGACCACTTTTGGTTGTCGAAAAGATACCCAGTAACCAAAAAAAAAAAAAAGAAAAAAAAAAAAAACAAGAATCATTTAATATCGATCCACAGGCAGCTTCATCAGCTGCATTTGATATCCACAGGCTGCGATCATCAGGATTGTCAGCCCAATCCGAATCAGAATATGCATGAATGTCTAGAGAAGGAGAAGACGTAATCTTAAGACCAAGATGTAGTGTCCCATTTACATACCGTAACACCCTCTTGAGAGCCACCCAATCTGCAGTAGAAGGAGAGTGCATGTGTTGACGCAAACGATTGACTGCATAGGAAAGATCATGCCGAGTTACCGTAAGATATTGCAGAGCACCTGCAAAGCTGCGGTACTGAGTGGGATCAGCGTATGGTACCACGGCATCAGTCTCGGCCTTCGTGATTGAAACCTGAATAACGCCGAAAACAGTTGGCTCCCGTGTGACCAAAACGCTCACAAATTTGACACGGATCATCATAGCGCCAAAAACAATTGGCTCCCGTGTGACCAAAACGGTCACAAATTTGACACGGATCATCATAACGCCAAACACAATTGGCTCCCGTGTGGCCGAAACCGTTACAAATTTGACACGGATCATCAACGTCACGTCGTTGACCGGACCGCTTCTGATACGATGTATCTTGGTTTGATGCCATCGGCTACTGCTACGAAGTGAGGAACATGGATGTTGGAAAAGAAAACCCTGGCTAACTGATACCAGATGAGAATATAATTGTGTTGTATTCAATAATAATATCTGAGAGTACAGGGAGCGAATATATAGAGATGCTAGATAGAATCCTCACTGCTGGAAATCTCGCGTTTTCCGTCCAACATTCGTTGGACGGAAAACGCGATATATTGGTCGGAAATAAGGTTTCCGTCCAACATAGCGACCAAATTGAACGTTCGGAAAAACGCTTGTCGAAAATTCCGTCCAATTTTAATTTTTGATCGGAAATAGCGTCCAATATTTAAAAATGGACGAAAATTCCGGACAATAACCCACCATTCTTAAAACGTGAAAATTTCCATCAAACTACATGCGTTGGTCAGAAATTCCAACCAACAATTGGACGGAAATATCGAGAACCGAATGTTGTGACTTTCCTTCCAACCGTTGGTAGGAAAATTCTAAATCATACAAAATGTTTTTATTATTTTTATATTAACATAATTTTATTTCTACCTGTTTTTTTTATAAATTATATCATCACCAAATTAATAAACACACTAAATTTCAAATTAAAAATATATTTAAACATCAAAATTATTTACAACAAAAATTATAGTCATGTCTATAGTTCTTCCAACAATGGACTATTACCATACACCAAAAAAAATCATGAAAATATATACTACTTAATCAATACTAAGTAAGTATGCTTGATGCACCCCAAATAAGCCTCAAAATGCTCGCTGCACCCAAATAAGCCTCTAGATGGGCTGCCTTTCTCTTTACAAACTGCAGGAATTATAATACGAAGCATGTTGCCCAAGTTCCCTGCTCATATGAAAGCAAGAATTTATAAGTTATCATGCACACTCTAAGCATACCCGGCAGGGAGTATTCATCAAATAAACTTATTAACAAAGCTACAGGCTATACCTAGAATTCATGCTAGCTTTATTTTTGTTTTTATTGGGTATTGCTCAAGGCCTATAATGGTCTCCAACCCACACTGCTTGGGTATTACTATATATTTGCTATATATCAAATATTAGGAAAAAAAATACTTCGTAATAAACACTTCAGCATTCTGATTTTTACTAAACTTCGAAGTTTTAGAAATATAATACAACTTTTAATTTCCTTCAACTAGGGGATAAAATAGAAATTTCACTCAAAAATCTCTAGACCAATGCTTGAGTATGTAAAAGCCTGTGAGTAAATGGAGATTGAGCAAAACTTACCAATTTCAATTCGCACTTGCATGAGTAGAAAGGGGAAGACACACAGAACCTTAGTGTCAGCCCATATCCCCCTGCAATCTGCATATAACCCAAAAAAAAAAAAAAAAAAAACATACACCAAAATAAAAATGTAAGGTAAATAAATGCACAATAGCATTTAGTATACTAGTAAAAACGAAGCAAAATAGAATCTCTTAGATACCATAATCATATAAAGAAATGATCATTTTATTCAAGACAATAGAAATATGTATGGCAGAACCTCATAAAATTCCCCACATATTGCAAGGACTAACACACCCACTTTTGGTTGTCAACAATGACATATGTGAATGGTGAATTTCCTCCTTTGGACGCCTGAATTGAAAAGGAATGCATTGCCACTATTAATAACTTGAAGTTCCCAAAACAGTTTATCTCAAAGAAACCAAATTTTTAATACAAAGGACAAACAATATGATCTCCAGCTTTATTCATATCTATACATAGTTGGATAAGCAATAATGTTTACATTCTTCTTAAATCCTCAACATATTATTAATCAAACTTCCATTTCAGCAACCACATTAAATTAAAGTGCATAAGCATAAACAGTCGTATCTTAATTTTAGTTATAGAATTTCACGATATGAAGTTCACCAATTAACCAACGGGGGAGCACTTACAGACAGAATCGGCAGGAGAAAGAGAAAGCCCTTTCTTCTTCTCCTCTTCTCCCAATAGACCTTACTTTCTTGATGCTATAGATGAATGTAAGTTCTCCCAATAGACCTTACTTTCTACACTTCTCCACCACTGTTTCTGAGTTAATCGCATGTGTTGAGTGTATTAAGCAAAATATAGTGAATCTCAGTGCCTGTCCCGACAAGAACAACAATCTTATCCTCATAATTGCAGTTTATAACAATGTAGAAACAATGCAGAATTTACAGAAACATAAATAGAAAAAATATAGAATTTGCAGGAAGAAGAAGCAGTTGACTTGGTTTTGCTAAAATACATATGAATGTTTTGAATTGGAGAAGCAGGAAGTTATAAATTAGTGCATAAATCTGTACTGTTTTGACTCCATTATTAACCTCTGTTCATGTTGATTTTATTGTTATTTTCCAAATTCTTCAAACTACTTTCCCCCACCCATTAATTAGTCCACTCCTCAAATCTCTCTCCTACTCCCTTCTTTTTCACTCCAATCACCCATTCCTGCGTTTTAGTCTGCAGTAACAAAAGAAAGAAAATCCCCAAAACAAAAACCACCAACTTCTACCAGCAACAACCAACCAAATACCACCACCCATTCCCTTTCCTACATTTGACACTTATCTGCTTCGAGATGGAGAGGAGAATGTCGGCCCGGTCCCAATTTCTGCAAACAAACTCAACAAAATAAAAACCCTAAAAATCTTACTGCCGGAGTTGAGATGACGACGTTCTGCCCTTCTGGCTTACAACGATACGGCAGTTGAGGTGGCGACTGGCACGAGGCGACAGTGGTTCTGCACTTCGATCGCAAATGGTGGCCGTAGATGACGGTGAGTTATGGTGGTTCTCAGGAAGAGATTTCGTTGGAGAGGGTTTGTAGCAAAATTTAGTCTAAAAGAGATTTAGGGTTGCAAATAGAGGTTGTCTGCCAATCTTCTATTTTTCCCATCCAAAGTTCTATATTTCCCGCTTCACTATTTAGTGCCCCACTATTCTAGTATTCCGCTATTTTTTAGCTCAAGTTTTTTAATTTTCGTCCAACAGCAATGTTGGACGGAAATTAAAATAGCTACCATTTTCAATTTCTACCGATGTTTATCGACCAACACTAAAGATTGGACAAAATTTCCTTTCAACACTGGACGTTGGACGAACTTTCCGTCCAACATTCGCGCGTTGGACGGAAATTCTGACCAACTTTCCGTCAATCCATCTTTTACCATAGAAAGTTGAGATTTTTATTAAAATAGCGACCAAATTATAGTTGGACGGAAATGTTGGACGGAAAACGCGAAATTTCCAGCAGTGCCTAGTCTAACACGAATAATATAGGTACATTATTCTAACACATAATATACATTATTTTAACACATAATGTACATTATTCTAACTCAAAATGTATATTATTCTAATTCATAAAATCCAATAACGTGGTTTTGGATTGTGATTGTGTGCACATTGCCTTTAAATTTGGTACCTTGATTTGACCGTAACTCCAACTATTTATTTCTACCTGCTAATATATCTCTCTATTGTATTTTGGATTCTATAAATCCTACTTCAGTTGGTAGCCATTTGTGGAGGATACAAACACTAAAAAAATATAGAGAGCGAGAAACTTAAGGTATCGTCCTCTGTCGCTCATTCCGAAGAATTAAGGTATCGGATTTAAATTATGAGTGAGATATTTTATTGATAACAATTGATTTTGAGTTCTTATATTAAATATTACTTTAAAATAAATAAATAATTGGGGTTGTTGTTACTTGTTACTATCTTCATAGTGTTATGGCTTGTGATTGCAATTGTTGGTTTATTATTGTTCTATTAGGTTTATTTTTTTTTAAACAAATATGTAGGTATTATGAAGCATATGTATATCTCAAGTAGATTCAGAACTTATTTAAAGCCTACAATTAGGGTAAGCGTTTCAAGATTCGGTTCAGTTTTTTCGATTTTTGTATTTCAGTAAAAAAAATGATACAATTCAGTTTAACATTATAGTTCGGTTCAGTTTAAGAAATTCAATTTTTAACATTTCTTACTTTTCCAAACACACAACCAAACAATACATATTAACATAGTCCAAGTCCAAAGTCTTAAACATTATATAACAAAAAATAACAATCCAAAATTAAAACACACTACTAAATACTAATTACTAAATATCAGTTGACTTTTTTGCCCAACCGACTCTTCGGATTGGCTCACTTGAAATGTTTTGTTGACCAGATGAAGAATCATCCATCTGTATAGTTAATATTTGGAGAACAAGTGTCAAATACTATATGATTAATTATTGGACACAATCCGTCATTGCTTGGCAAAATATATTTCCAGTGCACTGGAATTCCAGTACTGGAAAATATTTTCCAGTGCACTGGAATTATTTCTAGTGTACTTGAAATATATTTCCAGTGCTTCCAAGTATTGGAAAAATATTTCCAAGTACTGAAAATCAAAATTAGAATGATGTTAAAGCACATTAATTTCATACAAACATGAAACTAAGAAAAATATTGAATACTGTTAGATATATTAAATATAATATATTTAATATAATATATATTAAATATAATATATCTATAATATATATTAAATATAATATATCTATATATTATATTTATATATTGAAGAGAAGAGAGAGAGGAATGAATAAATGTTTATTCACTTGATTGATAATAAAAGCTTGAACAAATACTATTTATACTAGATAAGATAACTCAAATGCTAAAATTAAGGAATTAATGCTCCATGTAAAGCTAACATCATGGCCATGTACTGCACCTATAATTACTCCCATTATTTTTAACCAACTAACTCATCTTACTTGGTTTAATATAATAATAATATTATTATTATAATATTGCCTCCTTTAAACCAAGTTGGATATATTGGTCATCCCAATATCTCCTTCTTCAATTTAAGAAATGTCTCCGTCTTCAAGTTGGATATACGGACTTGTATTTCGTTCTGTAAACCCACTTTACTCCAATTGGCTTCTTCCCAAGAGGTACATCTGTTAACTCCCAGGTACCATTCTTCTCAATGGCACGTATCTCCTCATCCATCACCTTAAGCCAATGAGTTTCTGTAGCAGCCTCCTCAAAAGATAAAGGATCACAATCTGCAAAAAGAGCAAATTGAATAATCTCTTCATCCGACAAGTCATTATCATGACCCAAAACATAATCTTGCAAGCGAGCTGGTAAGTGGCGCTCGCGCTGAGATCGTCGAACTGACGACTCTGGCTGTGAAGGAGACTGGACATTATCTGGAATCGGTTGCTCTTCAACAATATTTTCAACAGCAGGAATAACAACTGAACTTTCATCTTTAGCTAACCAATCCCAAGCACCATATTCATCAAAAGTGACATCACGACTTATAACAACCTTTTTAGTTTCAGGATTGTATAGTTTATAAGCCTTTGAAGCGTCATTATAACCAATGAATATGCATTTCTCACCTTTATCATCCAACTTCTTTCTCAATGGATCTGGCACATGTGCATATGCCAAACATCCAAAAACCTTGAGATATTTGATAGAGGGTTTTCTCCCACTCCAAGCTTCTTCGGGTGTCTTATCCCGGACACTCTTAGTTGGACACCTATTCAACACATAGACAGCACAAGCAACAACTTCTGCCCAAAAAGGTTTAGGCAGATCCTTGGATTTCAACATGCACCTTACCATATCCATGATAGACCTATTCTTCCTCTCAGCCACTCCATTTTGTTGTGGAGTGTATCTAGCTGTCATCTGATGTTGAATACCCTTCTTCTTCAGAAAATCATCACAGGCAATATATTCTGTACCTCTATCAGTTCTCAAGATTTTAATTTCATAACCACTCTGCTTTTCAACAAAAGCCTTAAATTGTTTGAAAACATCACATGCTTCAGACTTTTGCTTCAGAAAGTAAACCCATGTTTTTCTACTGAAATCATCAATGAAAGTAATAAAGTACTTACAACCTCCATGTGAAGGAACCTCCAACGAACACAGGTCTGAGTGAACAATCTCCAACTGTTTTGTAGCTCTCCTTGACTTGCCCACGGGGAAGGGATCTCTATGCTTCTTCCCCATTACACAAATCTCACATATACGATCAGGGACATTCACAACAGGTAAATCAGAAACAAGTTCCTTTCTCGCAAGATAGTTTAACCCAGAGAAATGGAAATGCCCAAACCGCATATGCCATAACCAATTATCATCACAAACTTCAGAATTAAAGCAATCAAGGAGAGTATGCTTAATTTTCAAAGGAAATAGTCGATTTTGGGACATATTTACCTTTGCAATCAAAACTCCTTTAGCATTTTCAATGGTACAACACCTTTGAGCAATATGTATCTTATATCCTTTTTCTGACAGCTGACCCAAACTCAACAAATTTTGGTGTAGTTCAGGAACATAGAACACATCGGATATAAAATTGTGAGTACCATCCTTCAACTGAATAGAGATTTTACCTTTTCCCAAAATTGGCACCTTTGACTTATTGCCAAACGTTACTTCAGACCGGACTGATTCATCTAGTTCGGAAAACAATTCTTTCTTCCCACACATATGGTTACTACACCCAGTATCCAAGAACCATATGCTCTTATCAGCAGAAAAACTATCACTGGCCAAAAGTAAGGTTTCAGAATTCTCACCAGACTTTTCAGCAGTATTTTCAGCAATGTTTGCTTGATTTCCACGATTGTTGTCCTCATTATACCAACAATCTGCAATCTTGTGCCCATACTTGCCACAATTGTAGCAATGAAATGGAAATTTACCTTGTTTGGTATTACCTCCACCTCTTCCTTGGTTGGAGTTACCACGTCCTCCTCCTTGGTTGAAGTTACCACGACCTCTTCCACCAGAACCTCCTCTTCCTCTTCCACGACCTCTACCAGATCCTCCACCTCTTTGATTAGTGCCAGTCACATTAAGGGTGACTTGACTCTTCAAAGCTTCTTCTACTAGTGGTTCCGATTTTGACGCAATTCTGTCAATATGACTTTCTACCATACCTTTCAACTCTGCAATTGATAAGAGCTCGGTTTTGTGTGACTCTGTTATTGAAGCCACCACATGGTCATACTTCATCGGCATAGTTCGAAGAACTTTTTCAACCACTGCACCATCTTCAATTGTATCTCCGTATAACCTCATCTTATTCACCATATCAATAAGACGAGTGAAATACATATCTACTGTTTCTGTAGAGGTCATCTCACAATTATCGTACAACCTTCTCAACGACTGCAACTTAGACTTCTGTGCCCGATCGACTCCTTTGTGTGACACCTTTAAGATGTCCCAAGCTTGTTTTGCTGCTTGAGCACGAGCTAATTGCCCAAAAATGGAATAATGAACACCTTGGTGAATCTGACCCAAGGCCAATTTATCTCGCCGTATAGCGGCTGCATCAGCTCCTTCGGGTAGACCGGGATCAACAAAGCTCCAAAGATTTTGAGCTTGCAAATGTGTAGACATCATAATTTGCCAATAATTGTAATCGAGTTTTCCGTCCAATTTGGGACCCGTCCATACAATATTAAAATTTGCAGCCATATTTCACTACGGGAAATATCTCGGGGTTGAAAGGTTGACTGGCTCTGATACCAAATGTTAGATATATTAAATATAATATATTTAATATAATATATATTAAATATAATATAATATATCTATAATATATATTAAATATAATATATCTATATATTATATTTATATATTGAAGAGAAGAGAGAGAGGAATGAATAAATGTTTATTCACTTGATTGATAATAAAAGCTTGAATACAAATACTATTTATACTAGATAAGATAACTCAAATGCTAAAATTAAGGAATTAATGCTCCATGTAAAGCTAACATCATGGCCATGTACTGCACCTATAATTACTCCCATTATTTTTAACCAACTAACTCATCTTACTTGGTTTAATATAATAATAATAATATTATTATTATAACAAATACTGTATGAATAACTAAAGCTAGAAACAATTGTGAGGCAAAGAACTTTTGCGGTAAACAACAAAAGTGCAAAGTAGAGAATAACTCATAAATAAATCAAATAAAAATTTAAGACAAATAACAGTGAAAATATGAGATGAATGGCGGAGCAAGAAGCAATAGACTTGAATTTATTTCTTTATTATTATTATTATTATTATTATTATTATTATATCCAGATGTGCTTATATATCCAGAAATCCAAATCATGTTGAGGCTTCAGAGTTGTCATCCTTTGGACCCTTTATCTGCCACTGAGATCTCTGTCGCTGTCACAACCGTTAAAGCAGCCGTCAGTAGTACCCATGAGGTGTGTTTAATTTATACATCTTAGCTTTTTCCTGATTCATATTTATTTTATTAAATTATTCTCTTTCTCTTTTAATCAAATTTATGTAAACTACTCTGCATGATAGATCTATAGTTTCACATGCAATGATAGATGCTTACTGTTTAAGCACAATATAATGGTCTTTTAGACAAACTGTGATTATAAATTATTAATATTGTAAACGTTGTTAGCTGTTAATTAAAAGCTAGCTAGTCAAAAGTTGATGAAATAGTTCATAATTGTTCAGATATTGTCTGCTCCTATCTGTCCCATCTATCCTAAAAATAAGAGGCGTATTTTGACATAGTTTTTAAGGAATTCACACACTTATTTTCAAAATATTCTGCCTCCCATAACTGGCAAACAGGTACGGACGGAGAACTTTTTTTCTAGTGGGGCAAATATTAAAACAAGGAAAAATTGTAAAAAATGTCCCTTTATAATATGTCAATTATCATTGTCATCCTTGAATTATGAGTGGTGTAAATGTTGTCCCTCAATTATCAAAATGGTGCACATAAAGTCCCTCCCGTAACGGACCTGTGGTTCCCCACCGCTGTCCCTAGTTGGTACTTCGAATCGAGGAAGGAAAAAACAATTAAATTTCGAATCGAGGGAGAAAAAAACAATTAAATTACATATTTACTCCGACTTAACGGTGTCCTCTTCCAAACATACATATATATATATATATATATATATATATATATATATATATATATATATATATATATATATATATATATATATATATATATATATATATATGGGGTGGTAAGGTAGGGTAGGGTGGGAGAGGGGGGGCAACTATCCCCACTATAGAACAATAGTCCTCTTCCACACCCTATTTTCTCCGTCTGCTGGAGCACAAAAAGTCAATACCCCCACACCACTGGAGTTCAAACCTGAGACCTCTCATTTAAGGAGGCACAGCTATGTAACTCGACCACAAGGCCTTTGGCAATTAGAGAGAAGTTAGAGAGTGAAAATATCCAAATTCCTCATAAAACTAACTTCCAATTTACTTTTATAGTAGATGGAGTTGCGAATTTTTGCAAAATACTAGACTCGATCACGACTGACTTCACATCATGACGCCAATCGTGATGGCCATACTCTACATAATAGTTCTTATTTCTAAGCTATTTTTCACCTTGTACACATTTGAATTAAACTTTATGATCTTCATAAAAGTTTTAGATCTTTGAATTATCTTTTCAATGCTATTGAAGTCACTTGATTTGAACATTCCAAGACTGATATATGATTAAAATACCGAGATGTTATCTGACAGAGCAGAGTTTGTCACGTTGGCGGTCACGGTTGTGACCGTTAGTGTGACGCTTTGTCCATATTTTAAAATGCACTTTTTATTAATTTATTTTGCTCCTTTGGGTCCTTGGGTTATGTCATTGTACTTTCAACATGCTCTTTTTCACTTTATTAACTTCTAACGACTCTCGAAATACGACTTTGGCCAAAATGCACGACTTCGAAATACATCTAATTGAGTTTCAATTTACTTGATTTTGCAATCAATTCCCCCAATCATCTAAATGACACGAAGAAATCAAATAAAGTAGCACAAACAATACAAATTTGATGTCAAATATACACATAAATATAACCAACTTGGTTAACGTGAGTGGTTGTGCACTCTCATCCTATAAGAGATGTCGAGAGCTTACTCAGAACACCTCGTGATCTAATCAAGTTATTTGTGTCACTAGTAACGTATCCTTACCATTTTAGGGAAGCGATGACATTCAATTTATGGAGGTGGTTTTATTAGAACCAAATAAAAGTGTTGTTGCACTAGCAGATGCATACTTCTTCTCACCTCACCAAGGACCAGAAATCATGAATAAGCTTCCTCCACGGCGAGCTAAGCTCATCCTTTACAATAAGAGAAGAAATGAGACAAGTATATGGATTGTTGAGCTAGCCAAAGTGCAGGATGGACATGACAAGGGAAAAGTGATTTCATCCGAAGTCATTCCAGATGTTCAACCATACGTGGTATGTTTTTTGTGCTTGTATATGAGTACAATGGAGTACAGATTATTGTATATGATCATGTTTTGATTTCAATTGCTTGTTCTTTATTGTAGGATATTCAAGAGTTGGTTGATTGTGAAGCTTTGATGAAAAGTTATCCACCTTTTATAGAGGCAATGATGAGAAGGGGCATTGATGATATGGATCTTGTGAGTAGCTCTGTTACAATGTAGGATCTGTTCATATACTTTCTCAACCTACTGAAACAATGCCTCCATTGAGGCTCAAACTCACAACCTTTCAAGTGAAAGTCTGATGGACAATTTTATATATGTCCTCGCAAGTGCACGAGTCAGTGTAATGATAGTGTGCAAAGGCAAGGGTCGATCCCACAGGGAATTGTACGATGCAATTTAATAAATTGAAAATGATTAAATTAACAATTTAAAGTTCTAAAAACGAATAATATCAATAATTAAGATTAGGATAAACTTAAATGCAAAGTAATTGAATCGAAATGTAATTTGACAATTTAAAGTGTCCAAAGCTAATTAGAAATCAAAAAGCCAAAGAATAAAGATCAATCAAACTCAGGAAAATAAACAATAAAATTAAAGCAGAGAAAGTAGAATAACAAATAGATTAAACTAAACCGCAGTCAACATGGATTAAACTAAATGAAAACGCGGGCAAAAATAAAAGCAGGAAAATAATTGAATTAACTTTGAAACGAAATAGTGAGTGAATAAAGACTAGGAATCAAAATTGACAATCAAAATAGAAGAGCCTAAGAAATTTAGCAAGGCATAAATAAATTAACAGCAATTGTTTCATGCAATACCAACAATAGATACCTAAAGGAAAGAAATTAACAACAATAAAGATGAATTAGCCGGATTTTATTTTTCTTATGGAGACTAAGGTGGCGCGAATACATGCTGAGCGGCTTCGCGTCAAGCTTGGTTATGAAGGTCTGTTCTATGTTGATAATGTGAGGTTAAATGGTGGTCTAGCTTTGTTGTGGAAAAAGAATAATACGGCAAGACTGTTGGGTTATTCAAGGACCCATATTGATGTGGAGGTCAGTATTTGTGGTTTTCCAAATTGGAGAATGACTTGTTTCTATGGTTATCCACAGCGAACAAGGCGGACGGAATCGTGGGATCTACTGAAATGGTTGGCATCGCAATCCGGATTGCCATGGGTTGTGATTGGCGACTTTAATGATCTGCTATATCAATATGAGAAGAAAGGGGGGAATCCGCATCCAAATAGCCTCCTACGCGGATTTGGGGAGACTATTGAACATTGTGGACTGTCTCAATTATCGATGAATGGATACCAGTTTACATGGGAAACTGGTAAGGGCACACTTGACTGGATTGAGGAGAAGCTGGATAAGGTACTGGCTACGGATTGGTGGAGGGACATAGTTAATGGAGCCTCGGTGACCAATTTGTTAACAAGAAAATCGGATCACTCGGCGATCTTTATGGGTATCCGACAGTACGGGGTCAGGAGAGGTGGGAGGAGGAGATTTCGCTTTGAAATGGCATGGCTATATGATGAGGGGTGCAGGGCGGTAGTAGCAGAATCATGGGAGGAAGGAAGGGGTGGTGGTACACAGAGTTGCATTGAACATTGTGGGAGACGCCTTGCTCGGTGGGGAGGAGATCGGAATCATAAGTTTGGGGAGAAGATACAGCAACTTCGAAAGGGGCAGGAGCGGTTGCGGGGGTGTATTGATCCAAATTCCCTAGCTGAATATAATCGGATGGAGGTGGCTTTGTCGCGATTGGAAGTCCAGGAGGATGTTTATTGGAGGCAGAGGGCTAAGTACCACTGGCTCAAGGATGCTGATGCAAACACCAAATTTTATCACAGGTATGCCTCTCATCGAAAAAGAAAGAATACTTTACATACGCTTATGAATGGTAGTGGGGAATGGGTCGAGGGTGATGATATGACAGGTGTGGTGCTGGATTATTTCAAGCAGATCTTTGCGACAAGTAATCCTATGAATGGAGATCTCATATTTGATAATATAGCACCACGAATTAGCCAGGCACAAAACGAATGGCTAGTTCGGCCATTTGAGGTGGACGAGGTTAAGACTACCCTATTCTCGATGTTTCCTGATAAAGCACCGGGGCTGGATGGAATGAATCCGGGGTTTTATCAGAATTTTTGGGATATTGTAGGTGGAAATGTGTCAAGCTTTATTGTCAAGTGCTTGAATACGTGCTCGATCCCTCTGGGTCTCAATGACACTGATGTGGTGTTAATCCCGAAAAAGGACTCCCCTCAAGTGGTTTCTGATCTTAGACCGATTGCGCTCAGTAATGTGATTTATAGAGTTATGGCCAAGATGATGACACAGAGAATGAAACCCCTGATGGATGGTATTATATCCGAGTCGCAAAGTGCCTTCATATCCGGTAGGTTAATTACGGATAATATTCTCGTGGCTTCTGAGATAGGGCATTATTTGAACAGGAAGCAGTGTGGAGTGGTAGGATGGAGTGCGTTAAAATTAGATATGGCCAAAGCATATGATCGGATGGAATGGCCGTTTTTAAAGGGTATGCTTATGGCACTGGGCTTCCATGAGAAGTGGATTGATCTTATAATGATGTGTGTAACTACGGTTTCATATAGCTTTTTGGTGAATGGGACGCGTAGTAACGCAATTGTGCCAACCAGAGGACTACGGCAAGGTGATCCACTATCTCCTTTCCTGTTTATTATTTGTGCGGAAGGTCTCTCAGTATTATTACAGAAAGCGCAGGATAGAGGAAGTATACATGGATGCAGGGTAGCGCGAGGTGCACCCCCTGTATCACATCTTTTCTTTGCGGATGATAGCTTGTTGTTTTTTAAAGCAACTGTACAAGAGGCTATGGAGATAAAGAATTGTCTGTCACTATATGAGGAACTGTCTGGGCAAACTGTCAATTTCCAGAAATCTAGTATTTGTTTTAGCAGGAATACACATGGTGAGGAACGAGATAATGTGGCGCAGGTATTGGAGGTATCACAGGCTCCTAACTTTGGAAAGTATCTTGGCTTGCCATCGTTTATTGGGAGAAATAAGAAAGCGGCATTTGCTTACATTGAAGATAAGATCCGGCAGAGAATATGATCTTGGAATAAAAAATTGTTGTCACAGGCAGGAAAAGAGATCTTATTGAAAAGTGTGGCACAGGCTATGCCTACGTTTTCAATGAGTGTGTTTTTGCTACCAGTGTCTGTCTGTTCTGCCATTGAGCGGCTTATGAATCGGTATTGGTGGGGATCTGGGACTGATCAGAAAATACATTGGAAGGCTTGGGACAAATTATGTCTCCCTAAGAAGTATGGTGGACTGGGGTTTAGGGACCTCAGAGCTTTTAATGTGGCACTCTTAGGTAAACAGGCGTGGAGATTGCTTACGAATACAGAATCGTTGGTCTCGAGAATTTATAAAGCCAGGTACTATCCTAGATATTTCTTTCATGGAAGCAGATCTTGGAAATAATCCCAGTCATTGTTGGCGGAGTATTATGGCGGCAAAGAGTCTAATCTGTAATGGTGTGAGAAGGAGGATTGGGAATGGTAGTTCTACCTCTATGTGGAAGCACCCATGGCTACAGGATGGTGAGGATCCTATGATCCAAACAGAAATGCCTCCCCAACTGGCTGATGCTAAAGTGGCCAATTTGATTGATCAGGGAACTGGAACGTGGGACATTCACTTGCTTACTGATATTTTTGAGCCTGATGATGTGACCCGGATTGTTAAAATACCGGTCTCCCAGGAATATGAAGATCTGTGGTATTGGCATGGGGACCCTAATGGTTGCTACTCCGTTAAGAATGGGTACAGGCATATTGTGGGAAACTATGGCAACAATATGAATATGGGATTCAATAAATGGCTCACCTTATGGAAGCAAAAAATACCACCCAAGTGGAGGACTTTTTTATGGAAAGCCATAAGTGATATCCTCCCCACTACCATCAACTTGCGTATTAAAAGGGTGAATATTAGTCCGGTGTGTGCTGTGTGTGGTGTGGAAAATGAAGATGTTATGCATGCATTGGTTTTGTGTGACTATGCAAAAACCATTTGGGCACAATCTAACCTCCCATTACCGAGCACTGTGACAAATGTTTTTTATGAATGGTTTGATGAATTGTTAAATGTTCTAGACTCTGATGGAATTCTCTACGCAGCTGCGATATTATATTATCTATGGAGAACCCGGAACGAAGCGGTATGGAATGCTCGTGTAACTCACCCGAGGAGGATGCTGGTTGCGGTCCGTGTAGCTGTCGCTGCATGGCGCCAAGTCCACGCTGCTGCTGCTCCACCTACTGTTGTTGCGCCCCAAGAAGCAGCCCCTACTGCCATACGGCAGCAACAGCTCCAGCTGAGTCCTCATCACCAACACGCCAAGTGCTACGTGGATGCAGCCTACCACGGTGGTTCCGACAAAGCAACGGCAGGTGCGGTGCTTATAGGAGGAGACGGACACTTTATCTCAGCATTTGCCGCGCCATTACCACATTGCTACTCCCCTATAATGGCAGAGGCTTATGCCGCCAAGGAGGCCTTATCTTGGTTACGTGATCGTGGAGTACAATCGGTTGAGCTATTAACGGATTGTCAGACGTTACAGAAATATTTAACACCACCATATCAATTAGCAAGATCGTATACTGGCTATGCGCTTGATGGATGCAGGAACCATATTGCTACATTTACATATTGTCATGTTCATTTTATTCCTAGATCGCAGAATTATTTAGCACATAGTTTAGCAGCTTCGGCTTTTCATTATGACATAGCTATGTATTGGGATGATATCCCACCAGACGCTATTTTAGCTTATCTATGAATACAACCCAGTGGTTGACCTTCAAAAAAAGCAATGCATGTAAAATGTAAATAGCAGTAATTAACTCATAAAGCACCATCCTTTAATAATTACCACAAATAAACTATAAATTAATAACAATAATTATGCCTAAAGAAAAGGAATTGTGGTTGTGAAGTGTGTGCTGCTGCCGAACAAATTGTTTCAGCCACCGCCGAGAAGCTCCGCCCAACAAGGAGAAAGCCAGAATTGAAATTGTCGTCTGAAGGAATTGAAGCTGCCGCCGATTGAAATTCTAAAATACCGCCACCGGAATTGGTCCGGGGCAAAACCTGATCATGAGAACGATGATCCATCCCTCCATTTATACTCCT